TATATATATATATATATATATATATATATATATAGATTAGATTAAAGTTACATTTAACAATACAATATTAATTCTTCTTCTTTTTTTTTTTTCAAGCGCTATGGATTCTTTTACTTTATCAATATATATAAATTGAACTTTCGCTTGATATCATTATCAGTCTCATCGCTAAAGCGATCTGTAAACCTCAGAGCTAAAGCGATTGATATCACTATCAGTCTCATCGCTAAAGCGATCTCTAAACCTCAGAGCTAAGGCGAGCAAAACTAGTTGTGGCAATCCTTCACTGCAAAATTATAGTTCTAGTAAATAAAGTAAAATTATTTTTCTATATATATATATATATATATATAAACTGTTAAATTCCATTGATATGAGAGAATTAAAATTATATTCTAATGGCAAATTAAGGGGTTCAAAATTTGTTTTAGGTCAGATATTTAAATTCTAGATGTGACATTTTAGTATTTGTTTTCTAATCCCATAGTAGGAATTTCGAGCTATCGAGGTCTCCAGTTAGTAATTTATATCGGGAAAATTTCTAGTTAGTTAAAATGTTGTAGTATATAATACTAGCTAGTTAGTAATTTATATAAGGAGGAGGTGGAAACAAGACAATTATTCATATTTAACGAGTCTCTCCTACATTCATGGCCACCTCTACATATGCGGACCATCCACAAGATGCATTCGATACATAAAACCTACATAAAGCATTCTCTAACTCACACACAACCTAGATAAAGCATTCTCTGACTCACACACGATAGTGTGTGTTTATTATTGACAAATGCTAGCTATTTTCGTTCTGCTTAGAAGCGGCACTCGGTAGGGCGCATGTTGCACATACGGGGAAGATAACGAGCTCTCTCCATCATACGCTCTGACTCTTGGCCGCGGCTGCCGCCCTCCTGCATTATCCTCCTCCTAAGTGCTTCGCAGCGGCATTGGGTGTCAAAGTTCCTCAATTGCTCGCAGCATTGTTGTAAATGCTCCTGCTGTTGGTTGCTCTCGTCGTCGTCTGTCACCATGCTTAGCTCTTCGCCGTATTGGCCACCTTGTGAAAGGTACATCCTACAGTGGTTCAGCCTCTGCCTCTGCATCTGTTAAAAAAATAGAACAAAAATTGAGAAGAAAAGGCTTTGAAGGCGTATAAACAATTTTCCGGAAAAGAGATATTGTTTGTATATATACTCTTTCTGAAAATACAAACAAATCCCTTTAGCATACAAGGGAGGGACGGTATACCTACAAATTAATTTACAACAAAGCTATATTGTACACCTATACAGATTAACTTATTAGTTCATTTCTCATACAAAGCCTAAGAGTTTATAGAGTTCGACAATGCTATTCATATTAGTCACGCCTAAGAGTTTATAGAGTTCGACAATGCTATTCATATTAGTCATGTTTTAATATTTGATAGGTGGGTCATCGGCTAACACAATATTAACTCAATATTTTTCCATTGTCCACAAGATAGCTTGCTATGAGGGCCCTCGCGCCCAAAGCCTGGCTTACACCACCAAAAAAAAAAATTAGTCATC